GGACTAACCTATGCAGTAACCTATGACTATCCAATCTTTGAAAAATAAACTAAAATCAATGAGCTTCTGCTCTTCAAAATCTATAGTTAGGAATACAAGAAATATACTAGTTAACAGGAAGGGGGTAAAGCTAAAAGAACTCCAGTGCTGCCACAACAGCAGGGCAGCTACAGCAGCCATTGTGGACCAAAAGTACTTTTGGGGAGAGGGAAGGAGGAGGAGGGAGCAGAGCAAAGGGAAATGCCCCCCCCCCTTTTTTTAAAGAAACAGGAGGTGGGGGGCTCACTATGTTGTCTAAGCTAGACTCAAACTCCTGGGCTCAAGCAATCCTCTTGCCTCAGCCTCCTAAGTAGCTGGGACTGCAGGCACATGCCACCATGGAGGGCTTAAAGAAAAACTTCTTAGGGAAGTGGGCAGAGAACGAGAATACAACAGAAGCACTAAGGAGATGCTATAGTCAGTCACAGGCTCCCAAAAGGAGAATACAGAATGGCTTTGGTTCCTGATAATTCCCCAGCCCCAACACTTAGAAAGCCCAACTGATTGTACAATTGCTAAAGTCCCTGACATTTGATAAGCCTCACTAATTAAATCTTCCCAAAGTATACTCACTTTTCTTTTTTTTTTTTTTCAGCATATTATGGGGGTACAGATGTTTAGGTTACCTATGTTGCCCTTGCCCCCCGCCCCAAGTCCGAGTTTCAAATATGTCCATCCTTCGGGTGGTGCGCATTGCACTCTTTGTGTATGCAAATACCCATCCCCTCCTCCCTCCTCCCACTTTTCTTAAATAAGTTGAATAAGTTTCCATGTCTTACAACCAAAACAGCTAATTAGAATTCATTTTTAAATAAATTTTATTCTTCCAAACTACTTAAGACAAAAGATTAAACATTTTTGTTGTTGTACAGTTCTTACCTTATTCTTTCAGTGGGAGGCCCAGTATAGTGCAATGGATTGAGATATTCTCTGGAGCAAAATTTACCTACTTCATCCACCCAATGACCTGTTAACGTTGGTGGACAAACCACCAAAGAAGGAAGTGGCATACATTCTGCCAATTTTGATCTTGCATATTCCTGGGCCCTTTATAACAGCAAAACACAATAAATTAAACAGCTTGTTTACATTTCTCAGAATCTGGAAACCTTATTTTAAAACAACATTTTAAATTACCTGTGGCAATGATCTCCTGCCAGGATGCAGATGGACTGTAAAGTTTTCCCTAAACCCATGTCATCACACAGAATTCCATGAAGTTTATACTTATTAAGAAATGCTAACCAGTTCACACCATCCTGTAAAGTTGGGGAGAAAGAGAAAAATTATACGCACAAACAGATCATGAAAATTTTTTTCTTATAAAAAACATGTTTGCACAGACCAAAAATCTTTATATAGGCAAAAAAGAAATAAATGGGTATAAGAGACTAAACACAAGGTTTTACTAAATCTATTTTTTTTTTTTAAGAGATGGAGTCTCCCTGTTGCCGAAACTCCTGGGCTCATGAAATCCTATCATCTCAGCCCTTCCTAGCAGCTGAGACTACAGGTATGTGCCACCATGCCCCAAGGCTAATTTTTAAATTTTTTGTAGAGACTGGGATCCTATTATGTTGCCCAGGCTAGTCTCGAACTCCTGGCCTCAAGAAATCCTCTTGCCTTGGCCTCCCATAGTGCTAGAATTACAGGTGTGAGCCACTGCGCCCAGCCCTAAATCAATTTTTAAAATTCTTCAAGGTACATCTGAAAGGAAAAATCACTATTCATATTTATAAGCTAAGTATAAAACTTACCTGCTGATATTTTCGGAGTTCAGCATTGATCGGTACTGGAATTTTATAATTTTCCAACTTTTTCCCATCTAACAATTGCTCCAAAAAGTGTCGTTCCTTTGCTTTCAATTGGATTAATTCTTCTGACATATTTGGGGGATCTGGAATGCCTGCCTAAAATGATTTAAAGGTGTATTAAAACTACCTGTAATTTTTTCATCCTCAGATGTATCAAATAATTTCAAGTCTTATCAAAACAAAAATACGCAGAAAAAAGAAATCCAAAAATTGTATACTTTTAGAGACTCGACGACAAACAAGTTCAAAGAATTGGACAAGTATTGAAAGTGTCACAGTTAGACTAGTAAGTAAACACATTTGAGATATTTTAAAGACCATAAGCTACAATTTAATTTTCCCACATCATACATTATTTGATAAAGAGGCAAATAAAGTTGTATAGCTTATTTTAAATTAAATGCTGTTACTAGTGCTCGTCAATTTTAGTGTTCTGATACAGAAAAGTATTGGTTCTGAAAATGTGGTCTGCAAGGGCCCTATGGATCCCCAAGACCTTTTCAATTATTTCATATATAGTAAAAGGAAAACATTATTTGCTTTTTTCACTGTGGTGACATCCGCACTAACGGTGCAAAAGTTATGGTGAGGAAGACTTCTTGTGCCTCAGAAAGAAGGCAATGGCACCAAAATGTACTAGTAGCCACTGTATTCCTCACAGCCATGCATTTTTTTCAAACAGCCAGTTTTACTTAAGAATGTCCTTGATAAAGCAGTAAAAATGATTAATTTTATTAGATCTCAATCCTTGAGTGCACATTTTTTTAACATTCTGTAAGGCCAAATATGAAGTATATATAAAGCACTTATGTTGTTTGTCAAAGTATAATATATTGAGGAAAAGCACTTATAAGATTGTTTAAAATGTGAGCTGAACTGGCCACTTAAAAAAAAAATCTAAAGTCTTCAATACTCCAAAAATTTCCTTGACAAGCTCTGTAGTGTTCACATATCCATCCTGGATGTATCCAACTTTATGTCTCTTCATTGGCTGATTTATCATATTCTTAAAAGATTTATGATTACTAAAACTAGGAAACATCAGACGATACTTGTCCTCTTTAGACAAATTTTGCCTGGGAGACAGAAAGTACATTAACACAGCTCCTTTTTCTGGAATAACATTTTATTTGAAAGGACTAGAAAACTATGGTTATTCTGACTTTGGTATTTGGCTGAAATTTTTTCAAAAATGAACCTGTCACTTCAAGGAAAACAACAGACATCACTTGTTGCCAGTGATAAAATTCAAGTTTTTAAGAGAAATTGACAGCTTCCCAATTAAAAGAACTTTTGCTGGTGATATTAACAAATATTTTTTAAAATATTGTATAATGAAATATGTCAACCTATGGAAGATTTATGTAACTCAGTGAACCAATATTTTCTGAATAACCCATGTATAATATTATAAAACATGGGTAAAAGATTTAAAATTATAAGACAAACCAATGAATTTTAAGAGAGTATGAAAAAGAGTATGAAACGTTCATTGATAGGATTTTAGATTCTACATCGCACGTAACATTTAATAAACTCTTTTTTCAAGTTTTGGTATGCTATCAGATAAAAGACTATCCACAATTATTTGAGAAGGCTGTCAAAATACTGCTCCCTTTTCTAACTACCTAATCTCTGTGAGGCTGGACTTTTTTCTTATATCTCAACCAAAACAACATATCGCAACAGACTAAATGCCCAAGCAAATATGAGACTACAGCTATCTACCATTAAATCAGACCTAAGAGATTTGCAAAAATGTAAAACAATGCCACTCTTCTCACTAACATTATTTTAGAGAATAGTTATTTTATTAAAAAAATTAATTATGATAACATGTAATGGGCTTGTTATTTAAATGAATTCTTTAAAAATTTTCCAGTTTCAATGTCTATAACGGAAAATATAATAAACAAAAGCTCTTTGGTGTCTTCAATTTTTAAGAGTGTAAAGAGGTCCTAACATTAACAACAGTCTATCTGAAAAAAGAAATCAAGAAAACAATCCCATTTACAATAGCATAAAAAAAAAAAGCAACAACTTAGGAATAAATTTAACTAAGGAGGTGAAAGATCTATACACTGAAAACTATATAACGTTAGTGAGAGAAACTGGAGACACAAATAGATGGAAATAAATATGGAAAATAAATGTTCATGGATTAGAAAAATTAATATTATTAAAAATGTTCATACTACCCAAGACAATCTACAGATTTAATGTAATCCCTATCAAAATTCCAGTGGCATTTTTCACAGAAATAGAAAAAATACTCCAAATAGCCAAAGCAATCTTAAGCAAAAAGAACAATGCTGGAGGGACCACACTACCTGATTTCAAAATATACTACAAAACTATAGTAATCAAAAGAGTGTGATACTGGCATAAAAACAAACATAGACCAATAGAACAGAACAGAGAGCTCAGAAATAAATCCATACATTTATAGTTAATTGACCTTTGACAAAGTTACTAAAAACACACAATAGGAAAGGACAGTCTCTTCAATAAACGGTGCTGGGAGAACTGGATATCCACACACAGAAAAATGAAAATGGACCCTTATCTTACACCACATACAAAAATCAGGTTACAATGAATCAAAGACTTAAACCTAAGGACTGAAACTATAAAAATACTTGAAGAAAACACAGGCAAAAGGCTTCTTGACATTTGTCTGGGCAATTATTTGGGGGGGAAGATGACCCCAAAAGCACAAGAAACAAAACTGAAGCAAAAGTTAAGCATCCTAAATCTGAAAATTTGCAACTTTCTGACTGCTGACATGATGCTCAAATGAAATGCTCATTGCAGCATTTCAGATTTTGTATTTTCAGGTTAAGGATACTTAACTGGTAAGTACAATTCAAATATTCCAAAATCCAAAACCCTTCTTCTGGTCCCAAGTATTTCAGATAAGGGATATTCAACTTGTATAGACAAATGAGATTGCATCAAACTAAAAAGATTTTTTTCACAGCAAACAATCAACAAAGTGAAGAGACAACCTACAGAATGGGAAAAATTATTTGTGAACCATAAGTCTAGTAAGGGGTTAATATGCAAAATATATAAGGAACTCAAACAGCTCAACAGAAAGAAAACAACCAGATTAAAAAATGGGCAAAGGACCTAGACAGATATTTCTCAAAAGAAGACATATAAATGGCCAATAGGTATTATGAAAAACTGCTCAACATCATTAACCTTCATGGAAATACAAATTAAAACCACTATGAGATTTCACTTCATAATTGTTAGAATGATTATTATTAAAAAGACAAAATATGACATGTATTGGGGAAGATGTGGAGAAAGGGGAACACTTGCATACTGTTGTTGGTGGGAATGTAAATTGGTGCACCATTAGGAAAATGGTACAAATTGTTCTTCAAAAAATTAAAAATAGAACTACCATATGATCTAATAATCCCATTTCTGGATATATATACACAAAGGAAATGAAATCAGCATGCTGAAGAGATATCTGCATTCCTGTGTTCAGTACAGCATTATATTTGGAATCAACACAAGTGTCCATCTATGCAATGAATGGAGAAGGAAGCTGTGGTATACACACACACACACACACACACACAGTGGAATACTATTCAGCCTTTAAAAAGAAGGAAATCCTCTCATTTTTGACAACATGGGCAAACTTGGATGACATTATGCTAAGGAAAACAAGCTAGGCACAGAAAGACAAATACTGCATGATCTCACTTAAATGTGGAATCTAAAAAAGTTGAACTCATAGAAGCAAAGAGTAAAATGATGGTTGCCAGTGTGGGAGAGGTGGAGGGAGATGTTGGTTAAAGGATACAAAGTTTCAGTCAGACAAGATGAGTAAACTCTGTAATCTATTGTACAGCACGGTGACTATAGTTCATAATAATGTATTATATACTTGGAAATTCTAAGAGATCTTACATGTTCTCACCACAAAAAATGTTAAGTATGTGAGGCAACACATATGTTAATTGGTTTGATTTAACCATTTCACAATGTATACATATATCAAATTATCATGTTATATACCTTAAAATAAAAAATGAAACATTTTTTTAAAAAAGGCCCTGAGACCAAAAAGTTTGAGAACTACTTCCCTATGGTGTCAAGTTAAGAAATTTAAATTTCTTAATTCTGGAAATAGAATATCAATTAAATTTAATTAAAATATATATATTCCACATAACACTAGAAACAGTATTAGAGGAGTGAGGTACGCACACTGAGTCTTAAAAAAGACTGTATATTATATTTTCAAAAGGTTTTGGAATTAACTTTATTAATATAAAAACTAACATTTTAGCACAGCTAACACCATAATGATAATCATCAAAATAAAATCTTTCTGTACAATTCTTTTACAAAGAGTAACAATATTTTCTTTTTTTTTCTGAGACAGAGTCTCACTGTCACCCTGGCTAAAGTAAAGTGACATCGTCGTAGCTCACTGCAACCTCAACCTCTTGGGCTCAAGCGATCCTCTTGCCTCAGCCTCCCAAATAGCTGGGGTTACAGGCATGCACCACCACACCTGGTTAATTTTTTTTCTATTTTTTTTGTAGAGACGGTGTCTCACTCTTGCTTAGGATGGTCTCGAACTTCTGAGCTCAAGCAATCCTCCCACCTCGGCCTCCCAGAGTGCTAGGATTACATGTAAAATCTTCATTTATTTATCTTTATGCAATTTTTAAGAAATGACAAGACACATGGCTATATAACTAGGTCCATTCCCTAACAATGAAACCCTAAACCCAAGAGTCATAAATATTGTTCATACCAGGAAGCCCTTTTTGAGTGTCTTCCTTGCTGATTCCCATAAAATTCAGCAAGAGTTACTAATAGTGCAGGAGATTAGAGCTTATATCAAAATCCCTGGTTCATATTCCCTGATTCCTTGACAGTATATATTTCAGAAAAGTACATGATTTTTCCTATGAAGACTTAACAGAGAACATCAACATAAAGAGGAATAGGAATGAACTTACATGACATTCTGGTTTCTATTGCTATGTCTTCAAATTCACTAATATTTTCTTCTACCGTGTTTAACCTACTATTAATTAAATCCAGTATTTTTATTTATAATTGTATTTTTCATCTCTACAAGTTCAACTTGGGTCATTCTTATATCCTCCATTTTGCTCCTAATCACACTCATGCTTTCCTCTATTTTCTTGAACATCTGGAGTATGTTTTAATGTCCTTGTCTACTAATTCTATTATCTGGGTCATTTCAGGGTCTATTTCCATTGACTGATTTTTCTTCTGGTTACTGGACATATTTTCATGCCCAGGAATTTTTTGGTGGATGCCAAACATTGTAAGTTTTATGTTGCTGGGTACTGGATTTTTTTAGAAAACATATATTCCTTTATATATTTTGGGCCTTTTTCTCTGGGAAGTAAAGTTAGTTGAAATTAATTAGATCCTTTTAAGGCTTCCTTTCAAGGTAGGTCCACATCAGCCTTTTGTCAAGATAATTTGGCCCCATTACTGAGGTGATATGCTTCTAAGGAAAATACTTGATACTCTATATGGTAGAAAGTCTTGCTACTCTGCTTGGTGGTAGTATAAACTATTCCTGACCCTGTGTGAGCTCTGGAAATTGCTCCACCTATTCCTTTCCAGTGATTCTTTCCCCAGTCTCAAAAGTTTTTTCATACATATGTGCAGATGAATACACAGCCAAAGACTTGAGGAAACAAACCCCTCTGTGGACCTCTGGAGCTTTCTCTCTGCGCAGTTACCTCCTCTCAGGCACTCTGTCTTGCAAATTCTAGCCATCCTGTCTTCCTCCAACTCTGACTGTTCAACACAGCAAGACTACTGGGCTCTCTTTGGGTTTCCTTGTCTATACTGTGGTTTAGAAACTTGCTCCATGCAATAAGCTATAGCACTTCATTTGTTTCCCTCCTCTCATGGATCACTGTCCAGTGTTGACTACTTTTCAATGTCTGAAAACCATTGTTTGATACATTTTGTCTGGTTTTCTAGTTAAGGTCAGAGGATAAATCTGGTCCCTGGTTTTCCATCATGGCCAGAAGCAAAATCTGTATCATATTCTCATAGTTTTCACATCTATCAATGTGAGCCTCACTAATCTTTTCTCAATACCTAAAGTTCAAAATCTCTCTTGTCAATCTGTTATTAAGTACTGTTATTCTTCCTGAACAAACAAACCAAAAAAAAAAAAACAAAAACCCTAAAAGCTTATTGCTAGCATTGTAGTTTAGACCCTTTATCACCTCACAGTGGATCCGGGCTCTGTTATGTAGCAATTTCAATCCACATTCAAACAGCTATTAAATTGATTTTCTTAAAACACTGCTTTCATCATCTCCTATGCTTAAAGAACACATAATGGTTTTCCATTGCTATTGATTTCAGAGCTGAAAAAAGAGCCAAGGACATTGAGTACAACCCATTTAGTTTACAGCTATTATAATGCAAGGCCCAGGAGTTAAAAAGAATTTGAATAAGAAGAGGAGGATGGAAAAAATTCTGGAAATGACAACAAGGTCTTGTGATACAGTAGTCTATTATCTGTTTTTGTTGTGATGGTGGTTTCTTTAACATTTTTTAATGTGAAATAAAATATACATGCAGAGAAATATAGAAAAAATGAACAGTTTAATAATTATAAAACTCCTGTATAACCAGATCAAGAAAAACAGCTCTGCCATCACCCTAGAAGATCCCACATGCCCCTTCCCAATCATAGCCTCCTATCCTTTCCCCAAGAGGTAATCACTTGACTGACTTTTATGTTAATTTTTCTTATCTTTCTTTCTACCTTTATCACCTACTATGCATCCAAGTTTCAAGCCTGTTTTTGAACTTCATAAAAATAGAATCCTATGTTAATGATTCATTAATATTGTTGTATATATCCGTAGTTTGTCTTTGTTGCAGTATAATAGTATACAATTTATATTTCTACTATTTGTGAACTTCTGAATGATTTCCAGTTTTATACTATTGTAAATAATGCTATAATAAATATTCTTGAAAATATGTTTTGCTACATGTGTTGAGTTTCTCTAGGGTATGTATATACATAGAATGGATTTGCAAGGTTATTAGGATGAGTATCTTCAACTTTGCCAGATATAATCAAACTTTTTTTCAAAGATGTTATCCAATTTATACTCATACTTTGCTGGTGGGAATGTAAAATGATACAGTTATTTTGGAACACAGTTTGGTAGTTTCTTAAAAACTTAAACAAACTTAGCATCTGACCTAGCAATTTCATTCCTAAGTACTTACTCAAAAGAAAAAAAAACGTACATCCACATAAAGAATTATAAAATGCATGTTCATAGTAGCATTTTTCGTAATAGCTAAACTGGTAACAATCCAAATATCCATCAACTGGTGAATGGATAAACAAAATGTGGTATGTCCATACAATGGAATACTATTCAGCAATATAAAGGAAATACTTACACATGATACACATGGATGATGTGCATAACTACTATTTCTTAAATTATATAAATCCCATCAAAATATTATAAAAGCAGCTCGGTGGCAGGATCCTGGTCTTCCCTTGCTTAAAGACAGTTCTATTTCCTGCACTGGCCGCACATCATTTATGTCCCATGAATGTACTCCAAAATGCTCCAACATCGGTCTTCTAGTCTTCTTGCTTCATACTCCCACACAGACTTTATTTGCTTTTTACAGTTTTAGTTACCATCTCTAAAATTTACCTTTCATATAAACTTCAGCCCAGAATCTTTACCTAGATGCTACCAGAGAAATTTAGCAACAATTCTATTTCTAAAAGAGCATCAATGAATTTTCATTCTTTCAGGAACCATAGTGTCTGATTTTTTAAATTAAACTTAAGTTTTTTAAACTTAAATTAAAACCCTCTTTTTTTAAAGTACCTATTAAAGTATAAAATCTTAAAGCTTATAAATATTTTTGAAACAATGCTTTTTTTAAAAAACCTGATATATTCTTTAAAAGGGTTACAATTATTGTGGATAAAGTTATAGAAAACATTAAGTCTATAAACCAAGTATCTTCAACTTACCTCAAGTGGCATGAGTCTAATTAGTGTTGCAAAACACTGGGTAGCCATAAATCTTACACTGTCTGTCTGATCACTCATTCTTCCCAACACAGGAACAACTAAAAGGACAATATATGGAACAATGCCAACATCTAGTTGTTCCATTACACCTGAGTATGTGATTAAGGAAATTTCAAAATGAGATGGATATTTTCACAAACAAATTGATATACCAAGATTGTAACTTTTAAAAAAATTCATCATTATGAGGGAACAGACTGATCTTCAAGGCCTAAGATTCAATTACAACAGCATTTGCACACTTTGTTGTTCCTTTGAAAACATTACGTAACTTTCTAATGATTAAGAATATAAAATTATGTTTTCTGCCTGAGGAAGGCTGGAGGAAGCTTTACTAATAAGATTTTTTCTTTTTGGTATAAAAATTCCTACAAGGAATTCAAATGTCAAAATAAAAAATCACATTGTAAGTGAGAGAGCACAACTCAGTGTCACTTGAAAATTAATTCCAAATTTCCCACCAGGATCTTGACAATCACCAACTGGATATAGTGGGCCTAGTAAGCGCAGTTCTCCTGTAATCTTCAGCATTTTTGAACCAGAGTTTCTACTGATTTGATCTTCATCCATCTTTCTCGATCTGAGAAATATCTTTCAGATATGTCAAGTTAAAGAATGTCAGTTGCTGCCATACTCTTAGCAAAGAGCTTGACTGTGTATATTTCTAATTATCTAGTATATTTTGGTCATTTTCTACCCAAGTAATGAACAAACTTTGGAAACATAATGTTTATAACACAGGGACTACCTACATAGTACTTGATTAATATTAACAAAACATTGATTATAAGTCAAATAAGCAGATTGGTTAGTAGATAAATAAACAGTTCATAAAGTAACTATTTTGCCTATTAAAAAGATGTCTTAAAGTTAATAGTAATTCTTCAAATTTTCCTTGTGAAAATTTTCATAGTAAAATGTAAGTATATTTGTAATGTATTTGCAATAAAATATAAAAATACTCCAAAATAAGACGTAAGAAAGTTTTCTTTTGGAACAAGTCAGGTTATTTATACGCATAATTGAACAAATCAATTTTATTTTACTCATTCTTAACTGAATATAATTTCCTAATATTTTGTCAAAATAAAAAAGGATACAGGCAAGTGCTTCAATTGCGCCTTCTTGTTTCACATTGTCATCAATTGCTCCCAGCCATGGAAGAACCTTCTCCAAAAAAATATTCATTGTTTCCATGGTAGCTATTTTGCTCATGACGCCTACACAACGAGCGGCCATGTGCCTCACTGCAGTGCTGGGGTACTGGAGGCACATATAAAGATGAGGCAAATGCTGTACCAACTAAAACAAAAAGCAATCAGAATTCTCATTAGAGAATCTACTGTTCAAAATGTAACTAAAACAGCCCATGTTCAGGGAAGTTCTCGATATTTGAAGTGATTCTGCAGATACTTCAAAACATTACTCTCAAAACATCCTCAATAGAAAATTGATCTAAATCCAAACTAAGGTATTAATATTATAATTCATTCTTTCAAAAAAGAAAGGAAAAAGAAGAGAAGCCGAATTTCTCTCCTGCTTATATCCTCTCTTAGGCATCCAAGAACACGAAATTCTTTCTAAAATTAACAAAACAAATCAAAAGATATTTGCAAGATTCTCCTACCGAGGCTGAGAAAATGGCACCAATCATCACCAGCCTTCTCCAAATTTGGCAGCACTGGTTTAGGTACATGTGGGGAGTGGGGTGGGGAAGGACATGATCTCATTCTGTCACCCAGGCTAAAGTACAGTGGCATCATCATAGCTTACTGCAACCTCAAATTCCCAGGCTCAAGCAATACTCCTGCCTCAGCCTCCAGAGTAGCTGAGATTACAGGCGCATACCACCATATCTGGCTAATTTTTCCATTTTTTTTTTGGTAGAGATGGGGTCTCACACATGGCTAAGGTTGGCCTCAAGCAATCATCCCTTCTCAGCCTCCCAAAGTACTAGGATTACAGGCATGAGCCACTAT